TATCTCTGAACAAAGATTAAAACTTGTCAATACTTTTTGCATTTTCAAATCAAAATTTCAATAATTTTTGAAATAGAGTGTAAACGGCAGGATAAACTTAAAATTCTTTGCAGTGTTGCAAAAATTTTAAGTGCTTTGCAAACTAGAAATAAGTTACATTCGTGTTTTTTTTTATTTTAAGATTAATATATAATAGCATTTTAAGTAAGCATGATCATTTATAGAATGAGCGATATAATTATATTGTTTAGGTGTATAAACTAACATTTTTGTTTAGATATATATATATATTTGTACATGTATACGTATGCATAGGCGAGTGCATGTGTATTTTATTTTGTATGTAAACAAGGTCATGATGATAGGTGTACAAAACAAAAAGCATGTACCCACAAAACACGAAACCTTCAGGAAATGTTCCTGGAACGTTTCTCGTTCGTTGTGATTTGACGTTGTGGGAACATTAAAGTGTGGACTACCAGTTACGTTATAAGAACGTTATGATATAACGTTATGAAAAACCAATCTGGAACCTTAATAGAACCTTGTGTAACCAATCTGGAACCTTGATATAACCTTAAGCTTGTGTAACCAATCTTGAACCTTAATAGAACCTTGTGTAACCAATCTGAAACCTTAAAAGAACCTTGCGTAACCAATCTGGAACCTTTATAGAACCTTGTGTAACCAATCTGGAACCTAAATAGAACCTTGTGCTACCAATCAGGAACTAAATTTAACCTAGTCCCAGACAACATTTGTACGCTGGCACAACAATGGACCAACGTATCTACATTCATTGGCCCAATGTTGTTTTAAGACATTGGCCCAATGTATAAGTGCAAAATCCCTATGTTGGCCCAACGTGATGGCTAAACGTTGGAACAACTTTGTAAGGTCTTATACAATATATATAGGTCCAACGTTGGCCCAATGATGGAATAATACGGCCGATGTTGAACAAATGGTTGGCCAACGTAGTACTACAAATCTTGAACAAACGCTGGCACTCCGTTGGTTCATTTTGTAAACTTTTCGATCCATATGAAGGATGCTAAAATCCCATCCAAGCAACAGCTGAAATAATTCCTGGTTTTTACATCAGTTCAAAATTGCGAAAGTATTAGTTTTATAAAATGTTACAATTTTTGCGTTTTAAGGATCCACTGTTGTTATACCATTTTGTTTCTTACATACTACCCTGACAATTTGTTATTTTGCCACTTTCTCTCCATTTTCCTGAACATGCATGAAATATCTGCCACTGGACGTTTAAGCAACCAACAATCAATCAATATTTCTCTCCAGGAATTGTACTTTAGAATTTTACCCATATTTGAATGAATTCAATCAACACATCCATGTTACCTATTTTTCTTAAATAATGAACACAAAGGTATGTATATATATAATTTATTTTATCTAGACAACCAGCAAAGTGTTAAAAGTTTAATTTTATGTATCTACACGTTGCTAAATCAGATCTAGAATGAAAATTATTAAGTCTATTGATGATAATTTCGTTACTGTATATGTAATTCACTTCATACACTTATTTTCCTAGTTCTGTATTCTAACATGGTTTTCATTCACAAGAGTGTTCCTTTTGTTTTCTGCTTCATTTTCTTTTGTCACTATTTCTGACTCCGTCTTATCTTTTATTTTAATCAAATATAGCAAATCTTCATAAAAATTATTTCACTGCCCCTGTAATAAAGTAACGAATAAATGAGTTCTCAATGTATACTTCTTAAAAATATACTAACTCCTATAAAAATAAGCAAAAAGACAAAAAATACATTGTTTCCGGTGTCCTGGCACAACAAAAATATGATAAATAGGTAGAAAATAGGCTCTTTTTTATATTTTACCTAGACTATACAAGGCGCCGCCACAGCAATAGGCATAAGGCATGCTTTACCATAATGGTAGACTTCACCGTAAGCTTAGTTAAGTAGGAAAATTGAGGGTAGATATGAATACATGAAACAGAACAATGTGTCAAAAAAACGTTCTAACTAATGATTGTAGTGAAAAAAAATACAAAGTCAAATCTAAATACACCAGCTTTAACGGTAATATTAAACATTTTATGCATATATATCTGTGAATTTCGAATCCGATGTGGCAAAAAGGATGGCTATTAATTATATTACTTACTTAAGCTTAAAGTAATTCATTTGGCATTTTGTCCTATCTCCGTTTCCATGCATTTTCTAGCCAGAATATTGTCTATGATTTCCTACCATTCCTTTTGCACTCTGATTTATTTTGTCTTCTGTAGTACTGAAATACCTGACCTATAAATTTATATTAAAATGTAAAATTGTTCTTTTATATTTGTATGAAGTAGAAATCATTTAATAACATTTCTGAAACAGTACATAACAAGGTACATCCTAAAACAGACTTTTCCATTGATAATGGTCATGATGGTTATAAATGCAATCTTCATATTTAACAAAGATTTCAGAAATAAAATATTGAAATATTGGTAATATACAATTTGTTTAATGATACTAATGTTCAGTGGCAATTTTTTATGTTTATTTAGAATTAAAAATGATTTAAACAAAATCTATTTCACCCGAAACGTAAGATCAACGCTATAAAATGATAGAAATTATATGTTTTATTTGTAAACAACATACCTTAGATTAAAAAAACATATTGTATTTGTCATTCATAATATTAGGATTTTTAAAGTAATAGCTTACATGTTTCTTTCTCTTTAGATGATGTGATTTCCTCCGTTTGTTTTCTTTGTAATCACTGCTTTCTTACAAATACACGACAGGAAATAGCCTCAAAAGTGACCATCCCATTACATTTAGATTTCCTATAACCTTAATTAATTACCATAGCAACTATCTTTGAAATTTGTCTAACATCTGTTCAACCTTATCAGAATATGCTTGATTAACAGAATGGCTGTATCAAATATCATTCTGTATATAATTGCTTATTATGTTTCACAAATAAAGTTGAATGAAAATAGTTATAATAAATAATGATAATAATAATTTAAACTTTTAATCAGGCAATCTATGTTTAAGGAATACAAGTTTTTTTTTTATTACAGTATTGATATTCCATTATATATTTTAAACAAATAAAGGTTTGATTAATATGCATTATGGCAAAAATCTTACTAAATTGCATTTTTAACTATTACTTTATTTTTTTTTCTGGGAAGATTAAATTTTCTAAAAAATGAGGAACATTGTTCGAACGTTTTAAGACTGTTAGTCAAGTAACGTTAAAAAATAACTAATATTCAACGTTTCTACAACGTATTATTTGTAACATAACCAAAATGAAACTTCAACACAACGTTAATCAAAACCTTCCTAGAACGTTGAATTGTAACGTTTCATTTTAACGTACTCACAAGGTTCGTGTAACGTTAAGGTCCAAAATAACCTTACAGGAACCAATCCACAACGTTCATTGAACGTAATGTGTTTAGTGGGTAATGTATAAAAATAGTTTTCTCTCTTTACGCAATGAAAATCACTGAATTCTTGCATAATGTGTCACGATGTTTTTATTATTGTCTAATTGAAACTAGTAAGGGACACAAGACGGTTTTATAAATTAGTAATATATCTTTTCATTTTCAATTTTGAAGAAATTAAACACGTTGAAATATCTACTTACGTTTCATTGAACGTTTAATTTAGAATAATATCAAAGATTGAAGATATTTTAAATAAATATATATAGACAAAAAAATCTTAATCATAGTGGCAAACTAATTATATTTGAAACCTACCTTGATAGAATATAATAGACACATTTTAAAATCCAACGGAAAGTAACACGTGTAATGTTTATAAATAAACTACCGTAAATAACAAACCCTTAACGGAGAAAACAGATATCCGCAAAATCAATGTAATAATGCAAATGTAAATAATTCTAACAATGAAGACTACAAAATTTCGTCAAGTCAATCCCCTGGTTAATTTGACGATTAACACACAGGGATAAACCTATATAGAATAGGTGTACTATATAGGACAGTTGTTTACAACTAGATACTAGTGCAATAAAGAATTAAAAAAAGAAAAAGAAAAAAAAGAGGTATTTGTATATGATTTCGAACAGTCATTGCACTTTTGAAACTCATCCTGATCAATAGAATACTTTTCCACGTGGAAGTTTTTTTTCAAATATACTTTTTTTTTGTTAACGATTCTCCTTAGAAATCATACAAGATATTGCTTATTTATTTTCTCAATATGCTCGTTATTTAAAAAAAAATGATCTGTTTGATTTAAGGACGTTGAAAAAATATTTTTGACATATTTTTTTAGTATAAACGTGTGTGTATTTGATATTATATAACATAAACGGATGATGCAAATATTTTTTGAAAATATGATTTTAACAACGATATTCTAATCACTGATATTGTTTCTTGATTCAAACAGTCTTATGTTATATTATGCAGAGACCGCACACCAAGCAAGGTAAAGCGAGTTACGGGTGCCACATGTGGAGCAGGATCTTCTTACCCTTCCGGTGCACCTGAGACCACCCCCAGTTTTTTGGTGGGATTCGTGATGCTCAGTCATTAGGTTTCTATGTTGTGTTTTGTGTACTATTGTATTTCTGTTGGTCTATTTTTCTTTTTTAGCCATGGCGTTGTCAGTTTATTTTTGACTTATGAGTTTGACTGTCCCTATGGTATCTTTCGGCCCTCTTTATTAGACATTTTCTTGATTTATTTTTTTTGTGACAAAAACGAGAGAAAAAAAAAACAGATCACAAAATCGTAAAATTGCAAATTAATAAAATGTTTGAATACGTATTGATGCTTAAACAAAAAATAGAATAGAATACATAATTGGATACGAAGCTAACCATATTCCAGTTCCAATTAATTAAACTTTGACTTTTTGTTGGTTTTTAAGGAACTTGTTAAAAAAGGATTCAAACAGTTTGAAAGAGGCGATGTTGTTAAAGACGAGGACGACATTCATTATTTCAAAAGAATGGCTGAATGTTAGTATTTTTATGAATGAATAAATATATAAGCTATATAAATTATCACAATTGATAAACAAATGATAAATAGTAGATGTATAGCAACACAACCTAAATCAAAACTCTTTGAAGTCTTAAATGAAAAGAAAAATTGGTGTTATCGGGCAAAATATGTTACCCTGTATTGAGGGAAAAAACCAAGGAGTCCGAACATCTGACAAAAATTCCTAACCCAGACCTAAGTACATCCTTAATTTAGAACGATAAGAAAGACATTTCGAAATATTTTTAATCAAACCATAACTACTGCGATTTCTTAATTTTGTGTAATTATTCCTGTGACATCAATTTTCATATTTGAGATTGTACGTAATTATGGTTACTGGGAACCGTATGCTAAGTGTATAGCAATACTTATAATATCGAACATTGTTGTTTGTTGAATATGCAACAACCATGACATTAGATATCCCCAAAAATGCGTTGTTCCGCTTTTGGTTCAATTTTTGTTGCCAATTGATTTATGCATATGCATATATTACTTTCAATATTAAACAGATGTTTATGGAGAAACAGTTTTGCCAGTCATCATTTCACTTAGAAAAGGAGCATTCAGGGAAACAGTGATGCGCAGTGCTGCAGAATCTAAAATACCTATAATTCGATTTAAGGTAATATAATGCTGCTTAGATATTCGGTTTTTCTCATAAATTGAATTGTATGAGATTGTTTGGCGATTTCATTTAAATTCGAGTTCTCCAGAGGACCAAAACACTTCCGTTAATAAAAAAAATTCTTCTAGGTAGATTTAAGTTGCAATATTTATGGATATTGCTATACACAGGGCTATTTAAACCCATAACAACTACTTTAAGATATGATAAATTCACATTTTTAGAATTAAAAATCGCTAATAAGGGTTTGAATGTTACATGTTTTATCAACATTAACACCATTTTCATTCAAACAATTGTATATAAAACAATACATGATTACTTTAAAAATGAAACTATAACAGTCTCTTCATATACCTAAATCAACCATCAAACCCATTCCATCCAAGGTATTCATCCGCAAGAGGATATTATATAGCTAAACCCAAAAATATGTTAAACCCATGCATTCTTGCCAATAAAACTTTCAACCTTTAACGTTAACAATGAATAACATAGATAGTTAAAAGCCTTCAAAATATCGCAGCATCCACTCAATCTACTTGAAGAAGAACTTAAGGTGACATATCGATGCAGTTCACGACTATGCAAGAAAAAAATTAAAACAACACGTTATAAATTTCATTCCTCCGAAGCGCTTTTCTGGATTTAACTTCATCAGGAATACTCAATGCCAAATATTTGAAAGCCAAGGATGTATAAGAACCGAAACAGTTGTAGATCTTTACGACCAAAAAGGACATAAAAAAATAGCCTATTCAATGTAAGGTCGACTTTGCCTAAGGGAGTTGAAACCTTAGTTTCTAAATAATTTCAAAATTTATAAACGGGCAATGTTAAAAAGGTTTATTTTAAATCATGTCAGTACCGAAGTACTGACTACTGAGCTGATGATACCCTCGAGGACTGATAGTCTACCAGCAGAACATGATTAAAGCTCGAGTCATATCCATATAAACGGCATATTTTATCTAAATGGATGAGTGCTTTTTGGTCATGCATTCAAAAGCGCACTAAAACTACGACGAACAATGAGCTCAAGGGTTTATAACTCTTTCAAGAACCGGGAAGTTGTGTATATTTTACACAAAAACTAACAACCCTTCTAACGTTCTTCCTTTATGTTCTATTTTGTCGATAGTGAAAGACGGCTTAAGATATTTTCAAATATTGGTTTCAATCAGATGTGGTCTCAATATCTACTCCAAAATCTTCGATCTCCATCTTAACAATTTTACTGTAATATCAAAATTTTGATTTTTATAAGCTTTACACTACTATTCCCCATTGAAAAATTTTAAAAAACTTCTTTTTGCAAGTTTAATGTACAAAAATTTGAATCGTAGAAACAAATTCCTTGTTTAAGGTGATCACTTTCCAACAACATATTAACCCATGAATACATAATAAAAATGCTAGACGTTTTGATCAACAACATATGTTTTGAGTTTGGTGAATTGACATCTCATCAGTCGTTATTAGAATTGGTATTAATTGTGCGACTCTACTTATCGATTTGCTGTTGTATTCGTAAAAAGCATATTTCAGACAGATCCTTCTCATTGACGAAACTAAAAAAAACATCTTGCTACTTTCTTTAATCAATAATCCACATTTCAACGAAAGCTTTCATCTCAAATATCCGGGTGAGCTTGAGATTTAGGACATTACTGAAAGCAGCAGGCCTTGTTCCTTTCTTAAAAGCTAGAACTTACGACAATCGTGATGAATTTTATTTCACAATTGTCAAATTTAATTTCGTAGCAGAAAAGACCCTGTGACCCGTCATATAGCGTTAACATATCTTAAATAATAGGTTACGCATGTGCACGCTTGCACCATATAGAGTTCATTAGCATGGATGTGCTTCTTTTACACAACCCCTCCAACAGTGGTATGTGTGTGTGTGTTTTAAAACGACAAACGACATGTTTTCGTGGTGTTATATTTTAAGATAACACAATATTCGTCTGATCTGTAATTTACCGATTGTGTCTTATTCACAATTCTAATGCAATTATTTTGTATCAATGGTTCTGATTGGATGACATTAAGCGTGAAATTCTCTATCTCCCTGTCTGTAACTAAGGAAGCCGACATTTTGAATTCCGGAATGTATTGACATGTAATTTCTCCAATAATAAGCAAATAAACTCACAATTTGCACCTAGAAATCTTCCTTTTGTCAAATTTTATTACATTCTGAAGCGGACAAGAAGCCAGAAAACGCCCGGTGTTTACGTTTGATGCCAGAAGCATACTCATGACGTCACCTAGTTTAGGCGCCAAAGAAGATAACATCATTTCGCGGGATATTTGTTTAATGAAAATGTATACTATAATAATGACTAAAATTGAATGATTTGTTTATTTTGCATTAGAATAGAGATAACTGTATTGTATTTGAAGCTTTGCGGACGTCCATCGGTAGTTTTACTGTCGCAAATAATCGTTTACCTGTCTCCACTACGCTCCGCCAGGTAAACTAAATTTGCGACAGTAAAACTACCGATGGACGTCCGCAAAACTTCAAATACAATACAATTATCTCTAAATTGTTACATTTTTACTAAGTTGTGTTCACATGGCGGGTTATATATGCATAACAACAGACGATTAACTTGTCAGATAACCTGACCTCTGTCTTTAGCAATTTTCTTAGTTTGGTTTTTTTTTTGTCTCTGGATTTGTATCTGCTGTATTGATTAATGAGATTTGAAATCGACAAACTATCTTTGCCTCGGAACTGTACATGGTGTGTTGTACATGTAGCTATGATAAATGGAGTGAACTGTAATCCTGGTGAAAGTGCCTCTGTTATCAGCTACAGAGTTACCCATGCGTTCCACACAGGCTTTGTAAAGTGTTGAATACAATACTAGTATACTAAATTAATGATATGTAAATGTCTTGTTTTTCTGTTATGTATACTAGTATTCAACGGATTTCATAGATGATTTAAACGACCCGTAATTTAACTTTGAACACATCTGCAGAGTTTATGTTTGACTGCTTTTTCAGAAATTGCTTACTCAACTGGAGCATTTGAACAGGTTTTGTTGGGGGTTGTGCTGCTCAATCTTTAGTTTTCTATGTAGTATTTTGTAGACTTGTTCATCTTTGGTCGTTTTTCGTCTTTTGTCATGATGTTGTCATGACGTTGTCAGTTTTTCTTCGACTTATGATGCTTGAATGACCCCTTCATATTAACAGCATCTTTTTCCAAAGCTTGAATATTTCCATTCATACACATATGTCAGTCATCAGCCGTATTTAATGATTGGATATTTCTAATGCAAAACAAAAATACAGAATGATGTATTTTATTTTAGAAACAGAAACAAATGATTAAGATGTTTAAGACATTAATACTTTCAACTTGGTATAAAAAATGAGGAAAAATGCAGTGCAATCGAATGCAGAATTTAAAGTTTTGAAGTCTGTGTGAAATAACAGAAGACACGATATTCAGATCCTGTTTTTAACTTTTTTTTTACATTTCTTATACATTATGCAAGGTTACATTGAATATCGTGTTAACATATTTTCTGTTCAGCAATTTATTAGGTAGGTTTTTTGTAATTTGTCAGTGCATGAGTGGTGTACGCTGTTTTAAAAAAAAAAGTCAAATATACTTAATTCCTTTACCCTAAAGTTTCAATCAGGAGCCAGGTCAAACTTTGCTTTAAAATTATAAGTCCTATTTGAAACTAAGATTGAACCAATTGCTTTTTTTATTTCAAATAATTTTCCAGTACTACAAGCTTCTGTAAAATTAGATATCTTTTTTAATAACATCTAACATGTCTTAGCAATGCTAAATTGACCTGAGATGGATTTGGCTATCTTGTTTAGGTCCTTTTTGTTATATAGCTCTTCAATTGTTTTGATTCTTATACATCCTTGATATTCAAATATTAGGCTTTGAGCATTTCAGGTGAAGGTAAACCCGGATAGGCGCTTCGGACGCATGAAATCTATAACGTGTTGGTTTTTTTTTTGATCAAGTTATAGTACATGTTTAATTTCTATACTAAGGGAAGGAGGGGATTTAACCCTGATATCATGTTTATCGTTCTTACATTATATTCTAAAAATAATTATTTAATCAGTGAGGGAGGGGAATGGATTTCTGTTTTCATCTTAGGATAAAAAAGAAAACCGTAGAAAAACTTTCGCAGAAAAAAACAATTTCTCATCGTTGCTGTTGTTTAATTGTGGTAATAGTTTATAGGAAAGATTCGGACGCAACGCTACATTACCTTAACATAGTGCATGATGCGCATGTGTTGAGCTGTAAAGCATTTGTATTTCCATTAAAACAATCGAGTTGACTTCTTTTTTTCAAGGGCAAACAATGTTACATTGAGAGTTCCAAATGGTGAAGTTGAAATCATCCCTTCGTAAATTTTACGGACGCCATCACGAGTTGGTTGACTGTTGTGGAATAACCGTTTCACAGATGATATCGGATATGTTGTATGTCGTAACTACAATACCCTCCCTTTTCACGAATGTGACCTACCGAATTAGACTATTTACCGGATTTGTAATAACATAAGCAACACGACGGGTGCCACATGTGGAGCAGGATCTGCTTACCCTTCCGGAGCACCTGAGATCACCCCCAGTTTTTGGTGGGGTTCGTGTTGCTTAGTCTTTGGTTTTCTATGTTGTGTCATCTGTACTATTATTTGTTTGTTTGTCTTTTTATTTTTGGCCATGGCGTTGTCAGTTTGTTTTCGATCTGTGAGTTTGACTGTCCCTCTGGTATCTTTCGTCCCTCTTTTGTGCATCAGGAAGTCTTGACTGAGCAGAATTTTAGAAGTTGAAAAATATTTTATATTATTTTAGAAACACACATTTGATGTGACTGTTTTGACACCTGTGAAGTATACTAACAATGAGAGGTCAGTAAAGATGACAGAACATATCACAAATGTTAAGAACCCATGGAGTGTCCAGAAATCGAAATCAAAGATTTATAATTTAGGACGTTATGATGATGAGGATGATCCAGACGAAATAGCATTCATCTCAGAGGGTCCATCTGACTACAAAGATAACTTAGATGCTATTATATGCTGTTTGATAATCGGAGGTATACAAGATGTTGCTTTTTCAAAATTCATATCATAGTACGTTGAATCTATGAATGTTCAAAATATCAATGTTCTTTGCTAATCTTACATGCAAAAAATAATGTTTGGACATTTGTATGCTAGTAAACTTTAATGGACGTTAAAACTCAAATAGGATTTAGACAAGCTTTCACTAGCTGTGACGACTTTAACACGCTTGCTAGCGCCAAACCTTTTGCGTAAACTCGGACAGATGTGTAACAATACAACAAAAGAACAAACTATAAAAATCAGTTGAAAAGGACTTTACTCATCAGATCGATACAAAACAAAAAACACAAAAACACAGACTAGACGTGGCAAAATATTTATACACCCCAAAAACAGCCAAACGTCCTAATCACATATATGTATTACTGAGAGAATTTGGTATAGGTTTTAATTAATTTGTTGTAACGAAATCCCTGACTTAATAATTTATCAGTTCTACATACATAACATTCGTTGAAACCTAAAACGCGACTACAGACACGGGCATAGCGAACAAGTTGTGAAGTATACACACCGTAAGAAGAGTCAAAGGAACATCACCGTCCAAAAATTGCCTTTTTCAGTTGAATTATTTTTGGATATCTCACCGATCTGATGAGTCAAACTACTATGGATTCATTTTCATTCGTTTGATATCAATTTTCGTGGAATTCGTAGGTTCAGGCAAACGATGAATTTCTAATGAAGTAAAATGTTCCTTTATACATGTTATACTTATATGAAAACTTTGGCAACAATATACACGCATACCATTTTCCTCAATCCACGGATATTGAAAGCCACGAAAATAGTTGAACCTACATTATTTCAAAACAAAATCAGGGGCATAGGTAGCCGAGTGGTCTCAGTAGTTCAACTACTATATCAGTAGCCCGTCAACACTGAGGTTGTGAGTTCGAGTCCCGCACGTGGCAGGTGCGTTCGACTTCAATCTTAATTGACTAGGATTGTTTATTTTCCTACTAAAGGTCGGTGGTTCTCTTTTGGTATTCCGGCTTCCTCCACTTATAAAAACAGCCGCCATAAAATAACTAACAATGTTGAAAGTGGCGTTAAACACCTATCAATCAACCAATCAAATAAAACAAAATCGAGAAAAATACGAGTCTATGGTCTGTTCTTATAATGTTCTGTTTAACAACTTGGTAAAACTGGCACCCTTTTTGAATTTCATGAAGAGTGGCTTTGTTCATTGTTGAAGGCTCACGATGACCTGTAGTTGCTTATATCCGTGACATAAGACATAAAATTAGTCTCATAGGTCATCATAGCATGTATATTCAAACATTTTTTGTTTTGTTTTTGTACCGTATTCAAAGACAGATGAGGAGTGATGGAAAGATTTTTATATATATTTTGTATGAATAAGGAGACTCCTCTAACCATTTCCCGTTTTGTATCTTTACGCCTTTTTCTTACATAAATGACAATGAATAAATTTATTTCATAAAAATTATTACACAGACAATATCGTTCCTATATGAGAGAGAGTTGATTGAATGTTCTAGCAAGTCAATTTAATCATGCGATATCTTTTGTAATGTCATTGTGTCTTGTGAAAAAACATCTAAAATTCAAAGGAAAAAATGATGTAGAAAAACATTTCAAAATAAAATTTGCTGTAGTTGGAAACAAAAAAGTTGCATAATTAGTATATAATGAGGAAATATGAGTATTTATCAAATCGTTTTGACTATTTAGAAAAAATATTATTAAGGTTTAAACGTCTGATACGAGGCACTTTTTATGTATCAGGTTTCAGTGGTTTTAAAGAATGCATGCTTTTACACCACTAATACAAAGATAAATTAAGAATATTTTGATCTGTGTTACCTATTACATCTATATAGTAACCGGTAAAAGGGTGTGGATGTTTATTCTACAGCTGCACATACGGATAATTGATAAAACTATTGAAATCTAATAATTAAGGTCTACTGAACAACAAAGTTGCCAAAATAAATTTAAAAAGAAAATCCTCTTTTTTTTCACTTACTAGGAAATTTTAAGATGATATACATTTTAGGTCCAAATTCTTTGATTTAATGAAAATATATCAGAAGAAAAATAAAACAGTCTGCTGTTCTCTTTAAATTTAAATGTTCCTTCGTTTAAAAAATAGTCAATTCAATATAACTTCAAACGAGCACTGAACAATGTTGATGAGAGTTATTACTGTTCAACTTCGATAAAAATTTTCAGGAAATTTAGGGATTTTATTTCTTTTTTGGAGAATTCAGTAAGAGGTGAATTAAAATGCTGAGTTTAACATTACGACTGTACACTAATGAATCACTTTTTTTACCAAGGTACAACACATTTTGATAATTTGAATAACATTCTGGCTAAGGTAGTTAAGGGTTAATAGTACTGTAGTTGAAGAGGTACAGCCGTTAAATCGCCCCAAATCTTCAACTTCACTCCTGATATTCCTATTATTATGCATTAAAAAGGTAACAGTGCACTAGGACTGTTAAAACATATAAATTAAGAATAAAATATAATTTCACGAAACTGTTATTTGAGATAAGTGTTGTTTTATTTTTGATTATGTTGTATTAATTGAACCTTTTTTAATCTAAGCAATTCAATATGGCGGCTCCAGACATGTCAATTGTGCCTTTGACTGTGCATTTGAAAATGAATTCGAATAAGACGTCACAGTGATGAAAATAATATCATACTTTTAAAAAAAACTGTAGTTTTCTTATATTATTCTTTTACAACCTAAAGACAAAAGTTTTCAGGGAAAGGAATGTTGTCAATAATAGAAAAATAATTATCAAATAGTGAATTATAGATGTTTGAATCCATTTGAATCACATCTGTATGTACATATATACATGAATTAAAGCAAGCTTGTTGTCTTAAAACTTGGTTTGTTGGTACTACCGTACCAATATAAGAACAGAAAAGGGTTAATGCATGTAAATTTATTATTTCAGTGTCGATGGAAAGCAAGTCTCAGGAAAAAAGAATTTATGTAAGACATACCATAGATTCGTTACTTGCAGAATATTATTTTGATAAAAGGGACGAAAGATAATAGAGGGACAGTCAAACTCATTGATCGAAAACAAACTGACAACGCCGTGGCCAAAAATAAAAAGACAAACAGACAAATAATAGTACAGATGACAGAACATAGAAAACTAAAGACTAAGCAACACGAAACCCACCAAACACTGGGGGTGATCTCAGGTGCTCCGGAAGGGTAAGCAGATCCTACTCCACATGTGGCAACCGTCGTGTTGCTTATGTTTTTAAAAATCCGGTAAATAGTCTAATTCGGTAGGTCACATTCGTGAAAAGGGAAGATAAGTATAGAATAGAATATTTTATTTTATGCCCCACCTACGACAGTAGAAGGGCTTTATGTTTTTCGTCCGTCTGTCCCGCTTCAGGTTAAAGTTTTTGGTCAAGGTAGTTTATGATGAAGTTGAAGTCCAATCAATTTGAAACTTAGTACACATGTTCCCTATGATATGATCTTTTTAATTTTAATGCCAAATTAGAGTTTGACCCCAATTTCACTGTCCACTGAACATAGAAATGATAGTGCGAGTGGGGCATCCGTGTACTATGGACACATTCTTGTTCCAAATTACATGGCTTATAAAGAGCACATAAATCAGATACAGTGATTGAAGTAATTGAGTCAAAAATAAGACATTATAATATTCTATAAATATCACCGTAAGCCTCAGTCAGAATCATAGCCAAAACAAAATAAACGAAAAAACACAAACACAAATACATTGATATTAAATAACAGTATCAAGACCTGTTCTTCTTAAGTCAAAAGAACTACCAGTAAAAGTACCACTTACAGTAAAGTCTTCTTGTGTTTACAACCAACTTCTAAATTTTCAAATTTCTGACAAGTGCTGTGACGTTCATTCCCAACTTTATCAGCTGTACAATTTAAACAAAAGCGCCGGGTTCTATCAATACGAATTTTTGAATATCTGACAGTTACAACTCTTAATGAATGAGCACTGATTCTTAATTTACATATAGACTTCCTTTTTAAAAATCAATGATATCTAAGTATTTCTCTTTTTGAAAACAATCTTCAGATGAGAAATACGTGTCAAGTTTGCCTTTGTCAGTGATGGTTTAGATGATTCCAATATTTAAGAAAACTGTCACACAACTTACATAAAGTACCAAATTTTTGATTAAAATTTGGTTCGTGTTGCTCAGTCTTTATTTTTGTGTACTGTTATTTGTCTGTTCGTCTTTTTTTCTTTTTTTAGCAATGGAATTTTCAGTTTATTATCGATTTGAATGTCTCTCTAGAATCTCTTTTTGTATAAATTCTATAATGGAAAACCATTTATTGACTTTAGTATAGAACTGTTTATTACATATATATATATAGGCATCATATAATAATCCATCTTTCAAATCTTCGAGTATATGACAATATTTTAACATTAATAAGATAACTATAATTGAATTTCTGACATCACAACTATATTACTTGCTTTTGTATTAACACCAAGAATATATTTCATAAATTTATCTTGTGACCTTTCAGTAGTATTCTGAGAAAAAAATCCATTCTATAATATATTCATTTCTATTCTTACATGCAGCTAATTCAGAAGTAAACATTCCCCAAATTGCACAGCCATACAAAATAATTGGTCTTATTGTATAATATACGGATGTAAAAAAGTTGTAATGCTAAGATTAGAGAAAGACAAACACCTGTGTAACTTAAAACATGCTTTTAATTGATTTCTAATGTAATTCGTCTTTATTTTGCTTCAAAAAAGTAAAATAACAAAAATATCTAACTCTAAGATAAATTCAAAACGGAAAGTCCTTTATAAAATGGCAAAATCAAAAACTCAAACACATCTAACGAATGGAAAACAACTATCATATTCATGACTTGGTACAGACATTTCCTTATGTAGAAAATGGTGGATTAAATCACTCGGTTTTATGACAATCGCATTGAATTCCACTATATTGACAACAATGTGTGCGCAAAACATACAGACATAATAGGTAAAAACGTCAAAAAATGGGGTACAGCAGTCAACATTGTAATATAATCTTAATCACTACAAAATCAAATAATTGTTTCAACAAAGAAACACAAAATGGTATATTGACAAAGTACATAAGTAAAAATGAAAGACAAAAATTCAAAATTGACCATAGCACAATAATACAATTTCAGGATGTATAAGTACCGAGCCACTTAGATTTGCCTGATTTATTGAAATTGAAATCTTTGTCCTATTCGAATCAATATCAAAATACAATTCTGCACTAAAAGTATGCAACATATCAATTCTCTTTTGCAAACCATCATGTGTTTCTGAAAATATAACAACATCATCAGCATACATCAGACAATCAATTCTACGATTATCAATTTCAACAGGATCCGTACATGATAAGAACATTCTGGTAGATCATTTATGAATATTTTAAAAATGTTTAGGCGGAAAACATTATCCTGTCTCACACCAATGCAAAACCTGAAACATGAAGTCACTATATCAACAATTTTTACACATAGGTCATTTTTTACAATAGATGTCTTTGTTAATAGAATAAAACTTTCCAGATAAATTATTTGTTAAATGATTAAATTTATTCCCTGCATGAATCACTTTATATCAAAAGCCTTTTTAAAATTAACAAATTAGGCAAAACATTTCCCCCATTTTTACTTGTACATTTATTAAAAGAAGTTTTTAAAACAAAAACATTATCAGATGGTCTACATTTCTTAGAAAATCCAATTTGATAAGTTTCCAATGCTATTTTGAAACAACATCTCGTAAAATGTGTAGGCTATTTAAGATAGTTTGTTTAAATGCACGCTCTTTATATTTACGCAATTTGTTATATCCTTTATAAAATTAAAAATATGAACCTCTAATAACAGTGTTGAAGGGAAACTTCATCCTTTGAAATAAGAGGTTTCCTCTTTAAACTGAGGTCCAAATCAAAATCCATTTACAATTAAGTCTTTCATTATTTCATGAGTTATTGGGAAAAATCTGACAGGCTGCTTTCTGAGGATCTGTATTGTGATAATCACGATTCATGAATCACTTAATTGAACTTTACAAACCTGATGCCATAGTGGATTTTGAAATAAACATGTTGAGGTTTTTTGACCATTTATAACCTTTTGGAAATATATACATTTTAAAGTTATTAACAGATAGCTTAGACGAACAAGTTGCTAGAATTCCAAATGACAGTTTACAATGATAATCAAAATAATTTTCCATTGAAAACATTTAATTCTGAAGACAGATAATACATTCAGTATCAACCGAGACATTCAAAAAAGGCAAAAAAAGAAATGTTAGGTATAAACATAATAAACCATAATGTTATGTAAAATGCTTTTCCAGTCAAAGGCATTACCAATTAGTTCAAGTTCCACAAATTAGTTTAATAACTATAATATTCTTATTGATCGATTGTATATATCAAAGTCGATGATATGAATATGTGGCTTCTCACTATGAGGGGATGGACAGGGGATACCCTTCTCCCACCTTCCGCCCCTATCTCCCACCTCCAACTTTTAGAATCTTTTTTCTTTCCAACCTATTTTTTGTCTCCCACCTCCCGCCCCTTTCTCCCCCAGCCCCCCACTCCCCACCTCCCTCAAAGGTGTCCACCCCTCCACTATGGCTATAGTTTTGTTGTCCCTTTTGGTTTATAAGCTCTTCATTCTGTAAGTTTTGGATTATGAAACAGTTTGGCAGCGAACATCACTGAAGAATCATTTATTGTCGAATGGCAATCTGGTGCAGAAAAACTTGTACTACACATGTTATCATTTAGTAAGGAAAGTAAATGTAATCAAGCATCTTATTCAATTTGTATATTTTATTTAACATATGTGTTTTATGTAGATGGAGGAATCAGGAATTAAAAGAACTAAACACATCGCGACTTATTTGAACTTGATTTCAATAATAACCATCATTTGTATCTTATTACATGTAAATGCTTTCATTTCAGGGGGAAAACACTAATATGTATCCGAATGCATTATCAATGTACCTTCTAAAGGAAGGCAAATGGAAGATTCCAAAAGAACATATTACGAAATCATTTAACGAACGATCCATCGAGTACATTTACGAGAAGGTATACACATATACAACTTGAATCAAACTTACACACACACATACATACATACAACATAATGAAAGAACCATTTGTTTCGTTTGCACATTGACCAATTTTAAGTTTGTTAGAACACAACTGATTTGAACCCTAAATATTCAAATTATGTAGCTCGGTCCATACCTGAATGAAAAAAAGTGCTGAGGCAGCAAAATGACTGGTTCATGAAAAGTATTCAGGGAGCAAAACAATGAGTGTATTGTAAATGTACTAAATTTCCATTTTTCGTACTTGTTTTAACCTTTGCAAATCACTGGTTGGTTAAATTGTATGTATCAACACATATGATAAGTGAATCTGATGGATGAATGCTTTTAAACGGACCAATACATGTAGATACTGTTCTGAAAACTTGAATTTTCTAATTACTAAGGAGTTTCTACCCTGGAAAGAGATAAACATAGCTGTGTTTGGCAAAAACTTTCGGGAATTTGGGTACTTAGTGCTCTTCAATATCGTACTTTATTTGGCCTTTTAATTTTTTTGATTCGATCATCACTGATTAGTCTTTTGAAGACGAATCGCACGTCTGGTGTACAAAATTTTAATCTTGGTATCTATGATGAGTTTTTTTTATATCATACAATGTTTTAATACATACAAATCTATCAACAGGAAAACTGTCTGCTTTAATGTTTAACGGATGCTGGATTGCATCGATTGTATAGCACATTATAAGGTGTGTCTTTAGGCCAAACATATTTCATTTGGGTTGTCAAATGGAAATTCTCATTAATCTAAAGTGATCTTTTATCCTGGAAAAAATTAATGAAAAATTTCTCTCATTTCGGCTTTTAAATGTTATAAGTTTATATGTCCGCTTTTGGCAAAATTAAATATATATTTGATATCCAAGTACAATGGTCTTTATCCAGGTACAATGGTCTATCTTCCTTTACAACTAAAATACGAAATGTCTACACTCGACGAGTTTTAGTCAGAAATACACTGTTCTATTTCCACAATACCATTGGATTATAATAGGTTATTCATCCTGTTAGTTGAGAGACAAAAATTTCTATAGAATTTTATCTCCACTATTTTGAATGTATTTTTGCTGAACATTTTTTTTTATCAGAATTATCTTAGAAGTACTATGCTTAGATTGATTGCATGGTTTGAACTCAATCTAGCAAATTGAAGTGTTATATCTCTAGAGCTCCAGAAACATGAGAAAGGGGGATGCTTTATTTATCTAAGTTGCTTGTCTTTAAAAATACTCAAATTAAACAACGACTTACTTTTCATGTACGTAAATTCGAGTCCTATATAACTTTTTATGTATTAATCAAATATTTATGATATTGCATTTTTAATCCTTAGTTTGAATTTATGCCCCACCTACCATAGTAGAGGGGCATTATGTTTTTCGGTCTGTGCGTCCGTTTGTTCGTCAGTTCGTTCTTCCGTCCGTTCGTCCGTCTGTCCCACTTCAGGTTAAAGTTTTTGGTCAAGGTAGTTTATGATGAAGTTGAAGTCCAATCAACATGAAACTTAGTACACATGTTTCCTATAATATGATCTTTCTAATTTTAATGCCAAATTAGAGTTTTGATCCCATTTTCACGGTCCACTGAACATAGAAAAATGAAAGTGCGAGTGGGGCATCCGTGTACTATGGACACATTCTTGTTACCACTATTAGTAAATGGGAAATACATCATTATAAGATTTTCATGACAATTTATCTATATTATAATATTCACTGGAAGATTGAATTAAGAATATGAATATGAGAATAAGAAGATGTGGTAAGATTACCAATGAGATAACTCTACACCAGCGACCAAATGACATAGAGGTTAACAACTATACGTCACCGTACGGCCGTCAACAATGAGCAAAACCAATTGAAGCATTTTTTTTCCCTTTTTGCTAGATAATGTTCGGAAATTATTCTTGATGGAGGAATGATTGAAGATTTCAAAAACATAACTATTTTCTTTAAGTTAAATGATTGAATATAGGAAAGTACATTTACAGCAGTTGTTCAAGGGAATCAACGAAAACAAAAATAAAAATTCCTCACCATTACAGTATCTTTTATCATTCAATATTGAATTTCAAAACCTACAAATTTGTTTGTGCAGTTTTCATCGTTAATCAACTCAAAAAATTAATATATAAAATACTTGGGACGATCTCATTTCACATGGGATTTCTTCTATTAATAATTTACCAAAACTGATCAACCCGGTTTTGGTCTTAAGGTTGTTATATTGTATAATAAGTTTAACATACTAACATTTAATCGGTCATGACTAATTAGACACACACCCTTAACATATGGGGATCGGAAATGGGATCGAAAAAAATACAAGAAAAATATCCGCATTTAAAAATTCAAAGATTAAAGTGTAAAAGTTGATTATCTTCAGTTTAAAATCAGACGGTATTAAAGTGGAAATTCTAACCTGGCTGAAAATGTGACTCAAATGGAAATTGATATACACAAATATCTATGCAATGCTCTCATTTTAAATTTCGAAATCAGGAGGCTGATGTTCGGAATAGAAAAATACAGCAAAGAATCAAATGTTCTTTTTTTAATTATTTATTTTAAAGGCAACGAAACATGCATACACGCAAAAACTCAAATATTTGTAATAAGAAAATTATTTCAAATCGTTCGTTGCAAAAGGGTCTTAGACAGCATCTTTAACATAGATGTAAGTTCAGATTGAATAACACAATCAAATTTAGACACCAAAGAACACTCTTTAAAAGAAATATACAGTCTAAATATGTGTTATTTTTTACAATATAAGTAATATCTTAGTTATATCGGTACAATCGATTAAAAAATCGAAAAAAACAAAACAAAAAAACAATAGGTATTTCAAAAGGCAGGATATTGTATTATAATTCTTACTTTGATGTTTTCTATTTATTTATGTTAAATTTGTGACAACAATTAAAACTACGCGTTATAATTAAATGTCTTCTTTGAGCAATAAATAAAAGATGTTGTCCCTAAAACCCCTAATCCGTAAATGGTAAATAACAAACAAATGAAAAGATCCGATCAGTCGCATAACTTCCCCTTCCTACTTTTACAGTTGAATATTTTGTAATATTCAACTTTGTCTAATGTAATCACCTTAAAAAAAATCTTACATTATCATAATCATCTTTTGTTAAGATATGCGACCTTGTTATAAACTAATTATAAAGCAGCTGTGTACTTTATAAAAATCAAGTGTCAATCAATATGAAATTTGAACATACGATGTTTTTTAATTAGTTATTGTTTCTCATAAAAGGTTTTTCTTGGTTGTTTTTTTTTTGGACAGGATTTGGCTGATGACTTTGAACATGGATTGTGGTCAGAACTGCAGAATGACACAAATATGGCCTTCAGATCTCCGATATTGACCGGTATTATATCATAATATTATAATCTGCATTATAAAATCATCCAGATTTGAAAATCACTCTTCAGACACCCCTGAGAGAAAACAACTATGCCAACAAACTACTGAAAAAACACTTATACTCAAAATCCTTAGTCATAGACAATTGGCCCATTTTAGGAAGTCAGAATTTCAAAATTATAATCTTCGTTTAATCTTAAATCCAATTATGATTTTCATAAATGTATCGTTTTTTGTATAACATGTTATATCTGGTGTACTGCATATTTTTTTGACCATAGTGTTTATACCCCCAACTATCAAATTCAATCAAAAATATAATTCATCTCCGAAATTGGCCAACATTTATATCATAAAAAAATTGAAGCCTGTTTTCTGTTATTATACATTTGAAAAGAAGTTTTATACATGTTCTACTTTCATCAATTTGAAAAAAACCAGTTATATTGCACAAGCAAATATTCCAAATTAATATGGTATGATCGAAAAGCCATTACTTTTTCTATATAAGGAAGATTTTAAACTAAACTCCCCTACCTATTCAAAATTAAAAAACATCTAAAAACTGGATCAATTTAAAAAACTTCAATGATATTAAAAAATAAAAACCTGTGTTCAGAACGTTTCACAAATATTATTCATATATTTTGTAGTGTAATACATCTAAACCACATTAAAATACACTTGTGACGTAAATCTTTTGTTAAAACTCTCCATTATTTTCTATTGTCCATCTGCATTCATCCGGACGTTTTGCCCTTTGGGTATTTCCATGGGCACTTTCTTAAAAAGTGTTCACCTATGGAAATAGTTCTAGAGGACGTAACGCGATATTGAATGAAGATGAAAACTTACTAAAGCGGGTGATATTAAATGGATTTTTTTAATTGGGATGACCTCGTAGTAATACAATGAACACAAAATATCTCATTATAAATAAACAGCTTTTATTTGCGAGTCGTAATACCATCGTATAATATTAGTATCGTTTTCACTAAAATTCCACCACATTTTCCACAATTTGTTTTCCGATGCAAAACTTGGCTTAATTTCTGTCACGGATAGTATTCAAGCGGGTAAAAACGAATATTTTCCATTGAGTGCCATTTCTCTTCTATGCATGTACAAAATATCAAATGTGTTAACTTAATTAAAGTCTTTTGTAATATTGAACACTTTAACATTATACAATAAGGAAAATTAGAGAAAATATATTTCACTTACAGATTTGCTTTTACTTTTATCGTTTAAGATATCATTTGCTTGAAATTTAAAGTGCTGTGTTTTGATTATGTACAGCAAAAATTGTATGTTCCATTTTATTATGTACATAAAAAAAAAGAAATTTTACTCAGATAGCTTCTACAATAATATTGTGGTTAAATAGAATAAATAGTCCAAGAAACTGAAATGGTCAAAATGACGTATTTGGTATATTATTTGAATTTTCGTTGTTATAATTTGAATATGGTACTAATGAATAGAATTTAAGGGGTATGGATAACATTTGAATAAGGCTTACGTTAAAAATTGGGCGGGATTTTTATTCAATTTTCAACAGAAACACGTAACAAAATCGAATTCCTTCAAAGTTGTTATATGTCCAGTGGCAAATATAACAGCTATATCGGAAGTGCAACTGACGGCGTTAACTTGAAATGTTTAAATGAAATCAAAAAGTAGTTTTCCACTTAAGTTAAAGACATACAAAACGCAATCTAAAAATGTTTTTAATAACGCGGGTTTTTTTTTCTAAAATTGTTTGCCTCCTTTCTAATAATTGGGAAGAATGAAAAAATATTTTCAGTTTGCTTGTATTGCTTTTTAAGACTCTAAACCATGCATAACATTTTTGTTTGTCGTTGTTATGAGCAAAGGGAGCCAAAAAAATTGTTGGGTTAAGCATGAAACATGAAACAAGGTTTTTTGTTGATTTTTATTTGATCTAATAGAATGGTTTGAAAAATAGAACCATATATTTTGTTTTAGATATGTCTTCAAACCGAGCACACCCTAATTAGTTAAATAACCTATACTAGAGTGTTACATACCTTGAAACTTATTCCAGTTGTACCATGTAACTTTTTCTCACACGATTCTTCATCCAAGATTTATCGTACGAAAAACACACATAATCCATTAACATACTAGTATATGCATAAAAATTAGTTTTTTTCTCTCTCCCGAAATACCACTTAAAGACACAAATAAATATCCTTTCAATCCCACCACAACAAAGACGTGCGTATCTAATGACTTAAAACATAAATCTGGATGAACTTTATTCAAGATCTTTTTATAGTAATTATTCTACTGTTCATAAATACTTCGTTAAGTGAATAGATGGTCAGCTTGATCTTAAATTTTGCCTGTGGATTATTGGGTACAACACGGGAACAATGAAAAGAAAGAATTCTTTAAAATGTTATAATTTAAAGATTCGTTCTTAATATTTAAAGTGTATTTTAAGTTAGCGAAAGTCCAAAATAACTGTCCATTCCTGGGAAATAATGGGCGACGGCCCTACAGGCCTCCACTCCATTATTTCCCAAATGGACAGTTTTGTGGACTTTCTCTATAACATAAACATGACCACTCACGTGCATTGGGTATTGGATACTTTACAAAACGCATTTGACTAACAGGTCGAACAACAAATGTTCTTAAACCCTGCTGACTGCCATTGTTAGTCAAATGCGTTTTGTTAAAATATACTTTTTCACTTTTTTGGTCTTTTGGAAAATGTTGTTTGTGCTGTATTTAGACCCGTCTAACAAGAAATTTGTTTTGCATGCACACGTATAAAATTGCGGTTTTTATCCAACGCAATCATAGGTTTGAACGTTGTTTTCAATTTAGACTTGTTTATATTTTTTCGTTTGGGCTTGTATTATATTTGCCTTCGGGTTTATATGATCCGTTCATCCTATTTTGACTCCTCAAAATTCAAGAGTCTATCCTAAATTGAGGTAAATTGTATGGCTTTCCAAATACCGTTTCGATTCCTAACATCACTGAAGAGACATTAATTGTCGAAATCCGGATATGGTGTACAAAAAAACTTTGCACCTTTTGTTTGCGGTATATCATCTTTTCCGCAAGTTTATTGTTTTCTGTTAAGTATTAAATTTTTAATTAAGATCCATTTATTACATCGGTGATCCGTTTATTTGGCAATCGCCAATGGCAGTCAGCAGGGTTTAAGAACATTTGTTGTTCGACCTGTTAGTCAAATGCGTTTTGTTAAAATATACTTTTTCACTTTTTTGGTCTTTTGGAAAATGTTGTTTGTGCTGTATATATATATATATATATATGTTATCTGTCATGTGACAACTTTATAACAAACATGTTCCATCGGATAACACGCGGTTATACAGGGCTAACACCATATATATATATAATTCGTCTCAAATTTAGCCCAACAATGTTAGATCTATAAATTTGCGTTAGCAAATTTTTGTTCTTCTCTCAGCTGGATTCGAACCTTTGCGTTTGTAACATCGTGACAACACCTCCTGCACCGTGTTTATCGCCCTAGACCACTCGACCACCTAGGCTACATAGAAATATAGCTTGCGGTGGTCGATGTAGTTCCTCGTCGGGTTTATCTAGGGTTATAACAAAGTACATGATGTATAGTGGCAAGTAGATGGTGAACATTTCAGATCAGCTATTTTGATCTGTCGTAAACGATGATATATATATAAATATATATATATATATTTATATACATATTCGTTAGATACATGGTTGCAAATAGAATTGGTCTTTTTTTGATAAGCGAAAACAGCTGCAATCATGCCTCATCAGAAAATGCCCTTTTCAAATTAATCAACACTACTCTTAAATATCTGAAAGAAGTATTTAATTATGTTTAGTTATTACGTCAGATACGAGACATAGCAGCTGCTTGTTGTTGTTTCTTTGACACATTCACAGTTTTCATTCTCAATTTCAATATAAGATAGGAATTTCATGTTAGTTTTTATCTCTGCGTAATAATTGTTCAAAAAAGCAAAATCTATTGTTTAAATTTTTATTCATTTAAACGAAAATGGTAACAGTGCAAGGACTACAAGCTCCTTCTTGAACAAGAAAAGAACATATACGAATAAAAATACACATAGCTCAACAATTTATCATAGAAACGTACCCATACGCATACAGTCATGCGTGAATGCGTGTAAAGTTTATACAGAAAACGTCGGAATCTTTCGTTAATATTATATAGTACTCGGGATCGTCACAGGTGATATAGGCTCATATTTCCTGTTAATGTTTAATCTACTGAGCCACGAGGTGCAGGGAATATAGCGCACTGACAGGGAATATGACCCCGTATCCCCTGTGAAGCCCGAATATCAATTATCGTATACTGGAGTGTCCTTATTTCAACAATCACCACCATTTTTATCTGTGTTTTTCCTTCACATTAGGTATGGGCTCATATCCCCTGTTTAGGTGACCAAACAAATAACAGGATTAAATGGGATAGTTCACTCAAGTGTGATATATTTATAGAATATATATTCACAGAAAAATAAAAAATAAAACATCAATTAATTATTTCACTTTATGCACGAGTGTGATAATTGACCTGCATTATCAAATATTACAACGTACCATTAAAATATCATCTGGGCACATGTAAGATGAACAATAGCTAAATGAAATAATAAATGTCTTTTTAAAACTAGAACTTGGTGAAAAGAGAGAACGTTCCAGATTTGTTAATAGTTCTGGCAGTGATAGTGATTCCGATGATGATAGTGATGTTGAAGTTATTGCATTTGATGAAACCGATAGCCATATGGACAAGCCAGAAGGAAGAACAAATGGTAAATTCTAAATTATAATAGCACTAAACATATGAACTTTTCGACCGAATTGATAATTGATTATCTTTTAATAAGATATAGAAATTTGAAAAATATTGATAAAACAACGGTTTTTCTTTTCATGGAAGGCCTTACGGTGGCATATAGTTGACAATACCCACATCGTGATGTCTACGTTGGATATTGTGTTGACTAGTATGCATACTTTCTCCTCATATTCCTGATCTATTGTAAAAATTCTGGCATTATTTTTGACATTTTATGAACTTGGTGCCATTTTATGTCTGCTTTACCAATAGAAACGGAACAATTCTAACAAAACTTACAATATTCACTAACATAGCATCAACATTTGATTCTAAAAATCGGGAAAACAAAGTCATGAAAGGTGAACTATTGGCACCAAATCATACTAAGTCCTTTAGGAAGATCATGGTTCCTTTGTAGTTATAGTTACACTAACAATGAAGAAAATATCCGATTGAGCGAAACGAGGAGTTGAAAATGTATTCAAAGTATCCCACTGGTATCAACATCCGACATGCAAATCCACACTTAGTCAAAATGGCTAAATCAGGAATAGGACAAATCAGCAAACTTACAGATTAGACTACAGTGCTGGTTTCTAAGGCTTTAAGACTGCAGAAACATGTCACTAGTGAGTTGAGACAAACATAACGTATCGACAACACATTCGTGTCGGTTAAAGTCGTATTTCTTCATAACCAGTACAACCCAACTATATAGCAGGCATTCTCAACCGACCGTACAAGACCCTCATGGGTAGTGAAGGTCGTTAAACTACCCTCATCATCATTCTCAACAAACCCTACTAAATATCGGAATTGTCCAGTTAATATTATGGCCAAGTTTGTTAAGTTAACCATTAGGTCCAACTATGAAATTATTGAAAATCTTAACAAACTGCCCATGTTAATCAAATAAATCGTTTGTTAATACCGAAGAGAGGCCTTAATAGAGGTGAATACATTTTAATCTTTGTTAATTTCCTCTGCGTCAATTTTTACATCATTTATACGCTTTTTCCACTTTTTTAGGAAATCAAAATCGAAGTCACAATGTAATATACAGGTTTATACATAATGAAAGTATTTATTTTGCAGCAAAAGAACTGAAGGTGTCAATATCTGAATTGTATGGGCTTATATTTTTGGCCCTTTTACAAAAACAGTATTGGAATGGAGCAAAACAGTTAATAGAAACTGGATGCGTAAGTAATATGCGTATGCGTACAATAACTATACTAGTTTTGTCTACCAACGGCAGCAAGATGATTCAGAATTGTATTCACTTTATCGATATCATATTGCATTGAAACTAAGTGCAATGATATATACACTATGTTATTCATAAACACTGCGTTACAATGAGACGTTTAATTTTACAGGCTACCAATGATTTTTTTCTAATATCTGCCGTGAATGCAGAATGAGATGAATGCTACTTACAAGAACAGCACTTTTGAAACATCTATACATAGTTTAGATAGTTATCACGAATTTCATTTCTAATCCCACATATCGTATTTCTTTTATAACTAACTTATTTCAGTATGACCTATTTGAGGAGTACTTAATTACAGAGTTTTGTTTTTCGTTGATTAAATTCTTTTTCTAATATTCCGATGATTGCAAATAACTGATAAAGTTCAAAATTTTGGTTGATGAACCCGATTCATATCAAACATGGTAACCTCCGTATATGTTACTAGAAAAGAACAAATTGACATCAATAATCATAGAATGGTTTCTTACATCGTCTCTCCTCAGAATAACATCTGATGACCGTAATTGCTGAACCAAGATGACAGATATAAATAAAATTAAAAAAAATGAAGCCTGCCTCAAACTTGGAAACTAAATCAAAGACAACTTTGTAATCTCTAGAAAAACACTCAATGCGATTGACCGCCTTCCTAAATCAATATTTTCTGCTTTTAACCATAAAAACAAATTTATGACACCCTGTCAGTAATTGCAGGCTCCTAAGAGGCTCTGGTTGATTATGAACGTATATTTAATTCATGATTAAGCATTATGGTAGCGAATTCTAAAATTTGTCATCAAAAGTCCAAAATTTCTTGATAGCTTATTAAATCAGTCATCACAAATAATAAAGTCACGGATAACCTATACATTCGTTCTCACGAAAAATGTGTCACCAGCAGTTTAAACGATTCATAATCGTTTACATGACTTATTGTATCCGTGATTATTTATTATGATTCATTGCCATGTCAGAATGTTTCAAAACCGTGATCTAAAATTGAAGATATAGTTTTTGGAGGTCATGGATGAGCTTTCGTTAATCAATGTGATTCAAAGCGAATAAAAAAACTAATATATATATTTACAAAAAAAAAACATTTTTACTTCTAATGAATAAAGATCATACGGTAACCTTCAACCGTTCTTGTAATTGCCCTTTTGTCTGAAATTTGGTTAGTAGTCTTATCCTTAATCGTACCACGACTCGCTGTTTTTATATATATGCATATAGAATATCATAATTATGTCTATTTTGTTTTGTATTATATATACTATTTTGTTTCTTGGTTGATAATACTGCAACAAAGTGGTCCCTGGTGTTTTCCTTCAAGCAATTGTCAGTACTTTGGATATATGTTACATAGATAAAAATCGTGTTTATTAATTGAAGTCGTCAACCATCTGTTTAGGCTGTGAACAAATTTCGTTTAATAAAACCTCCATAAAGCTGCACATCGATCCTTGATTGTTAGACACAAATATTAAACCTAATAATCTAGTACTGTTGTCTAATAAGCTAGATGCTTAAGTGATACCGTCTTCAATTGTTTCTACTGCTTTGTGTATTTTTTTTATTTGATTGTAGATTCGAATCCATCATATTCTTGTTGGATGTGTTATATTAGAAAACACTGCGAACAGCTGGCAAACTCCTCCTCTAGTGCAAGACAGGCTTAGAAGATTGAATAAGTAATCATTGAATAAGATTAAACATTTAACATTTGGATAATGATTTGGATAAAGATTTCACGAACTTTCGTCCCTGTAACGGTGATCATGAAGTTTTCTGTTTTTGATGATCTGTTAACTTTGACGTTAAGCGATTCCGTCTCACAGTATGACACATCCTTTTTTTACAAACACTTGTAAGCACTAATGTGTGTGTATGTTTCAAAAGTGTAGAACAGCAAAAAAGAAAGTGACAAAACGATATCAAACAAAAATATTTTTTTAGTTAAAAATCATGACAAAACGATATCAATCATATTTCTAATTTAAAATCATCAAGAAATCAGAAATCAATATCCCCTTACAAATTCGGACTTTTTGATAGCTAACGTTGAATTAACTTGCATAACTATATGAGTTTAAATTTTATAAAATAGAAAAAAAAGTAGCAATACGAAAATTTTATTAAACATTTATTAACAACAAATTTATGAATAAGGGAGATGATGAGCTACTATCGGTTAAATCAAATGATAGTTTACATTACGCTTTTCCCTAGACTGTGAGGTTTCTACATGTCATCCCTTAAAACGATAACTTTCTACTTCTGATTTAAAATGGTCACTTCCGGTGTAATCTGTTTGCAAACCATATGCTGGTACTAAAGAGACCGAGTCTGAAAAAATTGAACCCAGATAAGCTATTTACATATTTTCAGTTTTTTGTATTTTTCTCAATGATACAGATATGCTTACTTTGTAAGCAAAATTCTATGATAATATCTCAACTGGTTTCGAAACAGTGTATTCTAATTCATTTGCGTACATATTATTTCATTCAAAATTCAAACACAATTAAGACTTACTATTTTCTTTGGCACTTAGAAGGTATTAAATGAGTTCGACTTCAAAATTATAAATATTTCAGATCTTAATATCTATATCTTGATGACAAAATTCATGTTTTTTTAAATAGACATATATGTTAAGTATTTGGTTTCTATGGAAAAGAAACAATTGATATTCTAGATTGGTGTTTGTTTTTCAAATTTCTTATTTTTTCCAGACATTTTCTGAATTGTTTCATGTCATTCCCTTCCTCCCAAATATCTGTTATTATTTACATTGTTACTTTGAAATTAAGTGTCTCTATTTTAAAAATTTTTGTTGATCTTCTATGAGTTGCTTTTCGCTATTTCAAGTTTTGAACGTGTGTTATGTTTTTATATAAAATTCAAACATTGTATAAGAAACTTCCATACGATTTTTTTTAAGTCTATTGTAATGATAAATATATTTTATCTCACAAAGTTTCTGTTAAACTCAACCTATACTTACTTTAACTCAGGCTAGAAATTAAAAAAAAACATAATTTATAACATGCTTAAAATTAATGTCATTTAATTCATTTAATTTGGTTAAATAGTTTTCATGATAACTTAATAATATACCTTATATACAAATGAGGAAATGTGGTATGATTGCCAATGAGACACCTTTCCATCAGATTTAAATGAAGCGGTAGTAAGCAATTATAGGCCATCGTATGGCCTTCAACAATGAGAAAGAAAAAAAACCGTACAGTCGGATATAAAAGGTCTCGACAGGAAAAATGTGAAACAATTTATTAGAGAAAAATAAAGGCCTAATTTATCATGTTTATAACAAAACAATTTGTGAAAAAAAAATATGAGGACATAAACCAACGACAACCAGAGTACTACAGACTCCTGACTTCGGAAAAACACATACAGAATGTGGCGGGGTAAAGATCTAACCCTCCCCTTACCTGGGACAGTGGTGTACTGCACAGCATAAGAGCAAACTGTAAAAATCAATTGCAATTGCAATTGGCTAAACTCAAAAGATTGATACGAGGCTCAAAAACCACTACCATCAAAAACAATAGACACAATTTTTTGCTTTCATCATAACAATTCAATATGTTCTTAACTTATTATTCATGACATTATGACAGTGGGATATGTTTTTATACTTGTGTGTCGATTACAAAAAGGGTTTCTTGTGAGTTGATAAACAAAGAAAGCTTAAAACTTATAACATGACCTGGCCTCCATTGTTCTGCCAACTATATCACATTAATCTTCCTCTCTATGACTTACGGTTTATAAGTTACTTCAACAAACCATATAAATAGAACACATTTGGGAAACAAAAACTCTTTTTACATGTGACCGTATCACTTCTGTCCAAATTCAGAGGAAGTAATAAACATATTTAAGACAAGCTGTTGCTGGACTGCAGGTATGAAGAGGGTAACCCTTTGAGAAACTACATATGTGTATTTGACATGTACACATATAGGAATCCATCAAACATTCTAAATGCAATACACTACAACTTGAATTTTTTTTTAATTGTTTCATTGTCTGAAAAGTAATATTTTAGAGACAATCTAAATATTCTTATTCTATTAGCACTTAATCGGTACTGCATCTTATATAATATAATAACAATTATATTATCATCCTTTTTCTCAATGTGTCCATGTTCTTACGAAAAAAGTAAAATAACGAAAATGCCGAACTCCAAGGAAAATTCAAAACGGAAATTTCTTTAAAAAATGGCAAAATCAAAGGCTCAAACACATCAAACGAATATAAAACAAATATCATATTCCTGACATGATACATGCATTTCTTTGTGTAGAAAATGGTAGATAAAACCTTGTTTTATAGCTAGCTAAACCTCTCACTGGTATGACAGTCGCATATAATTCCATTATATTGACAACAATGTGTGCGCAAATCAAACAGACATTATAGGTAAAAATGTCAAAAATTGGGGTACAGCAGTCAACATTGTGGTATCATATATTTTATGCTGTCATCTTGTCATGTTATTTCAAAATCATTGTTTTTAGGGCCTTCACGCAGAGAGCCTCTCGTATTTTAAAGTCTATATATGAGACTGACAAGAAAACTGAAAACGATAAACAGAAACGGAATAAACTTACTGGAAAAGAGGTGGAGTCAAATAGTAAGGAGGAAATGGAATTGGGTGAAAATATCAACCATGCTGGCAGACTGTTGTTAAATCATGGGTACATAGAAGATGCTATAAAGACACAGAACAAAACTTTTCTGGACAACAAAGAAGTGAGGAATATTATAAACAAAATGTGGTATGGATTAGAACACAGAGATCTTAAAACGGTAGGAAAGCATATGATGAAAATATATTGTTTTTCAATGCGTGTATATTAATAAGGGCAAAATCACGAGCATCGAAATGATAGGCATCGTTTTGTGCATAATTTTATTGATTAAGGTGGTACCCAACACCTTGACTAAAATTAATTTGGCTCGTTTAATTTTCATAAAATTTTGACATAATGTTTACTTTGACCCTTTGACAAAAATATAAAAATTTCAAAGAATTTGAACCAACCACTTTATCAGAAAAATTTCGTTGGTTATATAGCAGTTTGACAAACACTAATTTTGATCATTGAGAAGCGTAATATTTCCTTAACAAAACAACGTGATTAAAACGTTTAGCTGATTTTTACAGAGTTATCTCCCTGTAGTGTTAGGTACCACCTTAACCATTTATTATCCCTTCATTTTATTTTATGCTAAATTCCACCAATGATGAAGGTGAATTGACCTTTCTGAATGCGCATTTTTCTATATATTGTACAGTGTTGTTCATTGGTGATTTGTACCTGTGTCTCTATAAATAATTGTGTGTTTGTCCTTTTTTCGGGCCGAGTTAAAATGTTATTTAGATATGTGTATTTCACTATGATTTTTTTTACATTATAGTGAGTGCTCAAATCTCATATATCGTAGTCAACTTTTAAATAAAGATACTACTAAAAGTAGAATATCTGCTTCAAATCTTCATATCCTACAAATTGACACAGACCGAAAAATTCAATTTAGAATCTATGACGAACTTGATGATATCAACTTTCCAATTAGCAACTTCTAATTTATCAGCAGAAACATATTCACTGCTTCATCGCTTGGCATTTACATATATCAGTTATCACGTTCCGCTCCTGCATGTTCAAGCTATATAGACTTCATTAACTGGGATGTATTCCTTACACAAACAAAACTGCTCCAACAGAGTAATGCGAATGATTGACTGAAATCGACCATACTTAAGTGCAACGGTCTTTCTACTAAATGTTGACTCATATGATGTGTCAGTGTATCAACAAGTTAGCGACTTGTTATCTTGGGCTAAGAGCTTTTATTATCAGTACAGTCTTCTGATATGTAATTTTTATATTTTGTTCTTATGTTGTACTGTTACACCACTGTCCCAGGTTATGGGGAGTGTTGGCGCCTTCAAACTGGTTTAACCCCGCAACATTCTGTACGTGCCTGTCCAAAGTCAGGAGCCTGTAATTCAGTGGTTGTCGTTTGTTACTGTGCAACATATTCGTTTTTCGTTTTTCGCTCATGATTTTGTACATTAATTAGGCCGTTAGTTTTCTCGTTTGAATTGTTTTACATTTGTCATTTCGGGGCCTTTTATAGCTGACTATGCGGTATGGGCTTTACCTGTAGTTGTTAATTTCTGTGTCATTTGGTCTCTTGTGGAGTGTTGTCTCATTGGCAATCATACCACCTCTTCTTAATTTTACATTTACTAATTGTGTTCTATTTCCGATTGTATATTATGACTGAGCATGATAGGGAATGAAGGGCGATGCAGGCATAGCAGGAGACTGGAACCCTGTCGACAACACGCTACTTTTTGGAAGTTCATGATTGTGTTTATAACCTAATTTGTCTCTTTTTGATTTACGAGATTTTAACATCTGTTAGCTACTGTCGCCTTAATTTAGCTTTGTTTGTATATTACTAAATTCGAATACATCCTTCTAGTCTCTAACACATACGTATGTTACAAAAGATTGCTTTGATAATACATCATGGCATATACTGGCAGTTTAAAATTTCATATAAAGAACATGCGTCTCACCTGCAGTTTTAGTATAATATTCTAGATATGAGTGTATACTATAGAAATTTCGTCCATAATTATCGTGTTTAAAAAAACCTTAACAGAAGTGCACGAAGGCTTATTAAGAAGAAATTGTGATGAATGAATTTCATATATTGATAAGTTAATGATTAAAAAAACGTTTTAAACATAAAGACCACATTGGTGTTGCAACTTTGTATACGATGCCAGATTTCAAGTTTTATTTTGTTGTTTTAAAAAATTCTAATAATTCAAAATTTGTTGACTATGTTGAACGCATCTATCCCATTGAACCTGAGATAAAGGATACAACAGATACAGTTGGATCTGCCTTATATTTTGACTCACATCTAGAGATTGACAATGAGGGTCTTTTAAAAACAAAACTTTACGACAAAAGAGATGATTTCAGCTTCCCAATTGTGAACTTTCCATTTCTATGTAGCAACATTTCAATAGCGCCTTCGTACGGAGTACATATCTCCCAGTAAATACGATATTCCGGGGCTTGTATTTCCTATCATGATTTCCTTGATAGAGGGTTGCTGCTCACAAGGAAGCAATTTGACCAAGAGTTCCAGGTGGTGTCGTTGAAATCGTCCATTCGTAAATTTTACGGACGCCATCACGAGTTGGTTGACCGTTATGGAATATCAGTATCACAGATAATAACGGATATGTTCCAAATCCCGTCCCCTTTCCCGAGAATGTGACCTACAGAATTAGACTTATTACCGGGTTTATACTAGCATAGGTAAAATGACGGATGCCACATGTGGAGCAGGATATGCTTTCTATTCCGGAGCACCTGCAATCTCCCCCAGTTTGTGGTGGGTTTCGTGTTGCACAGTATTTAGTTTTCCATGTTGAGTTTTTTGTACTATTGTTTGTTTGTCTTTTCATTTTTAGCTATAGTGTTGTCAGTTTATGAGTTTGAATGTCCCTTTGATATTTTACGCCTTTCTTTTAATATATGAATTTAGATTACTGTCCCTGCATACGAAAAGTGGCAAATTGAAACATAAGAGAAGTAAACAAAGAAGGAATCAAAACCAATAAGTCAAAGAAATATAAACCAGAAAGACCGTTAAACAGACAAATTAAATTCCACAACATAAATCATAGAAAGAGTAACATATCAAAAACAGGAATGGACTCATCCTATACTCTTTGGCGCCAGTAAAACTTTCATTAATGCATGAAACAATTAAATCCGTACTTGTCGACGAATCAATACATGTTGAAAAGATACTTTGGGGAACTCAATTATATATAAAATATCCCATCATTTGTTTTTATGTTTTTCATTAATTACAGTTCAGTTAGAAGTAACCAAATAATTTTGTTTCATTGAGAGCGTTCATTGCCACATGATGCACACACCATACTTTGAATTATATTATAGTATCAACGAAATATCTATCATCACTGAAAGCTAAAAATACTGTAAAAGGTTTTTATTTTTTTTTTTATATTTAACACCTCATCATATTCAAATCTATAACTCAATGTAATATCAAATTATATGCCTGATATCCTTGGTAGAGTATATACAACCGCACATTGGTTGTTAATAATGCTTAACTTGTGTTCCCAATATTTCCGCTATCCAATTACAGGTGATCAGTACGCCGGCGCTGACAAGAAATACATACAAGAAATGTTGTGAAAAATGACATTAAATACACGTTTGAATCTTCTAGTTGTCAACACTAAGCATGGATTTCCTTATCTTGTTTTTCCACAGCTTTTAGAATTGTTTGTTTTTTCTTGCTTTCCAACATCGTAAGTGGTTATGACTTGGTTTACAAGCTTTTTCTATTCTATTTATGTAAACAAACGCACGTCCGACGAATCAAATCATAGGCCTGTATGGTATCATTGGAATACACTTTCCTTCTTCAATTAGTAATGTAAAATTGGCCGAGCTAGTATATATTGTCATCACATTTCTTATAACAATGAAATTTTATGAAACTGAAGTTTAATAATGGTTTGTTCTCTACCTCCCTTCACATGCTCTTTCTTTTTATAACTCAAAAACCAATTTGCAAGTGGACAACCATTTGAAATATCGGCTGTTTACGACCCGTTTCTCGCAAAACGACGGATGAAAAGTATTTTGAACGAACATATATCTAGCCGTCTGTTCCGTTCAATATGGAAAGGTCTTAAATTACATACCAAACAGGTTCTATTACATCATATAACCTATAATTGTTTATCTAGGGTTTGTGTTTCTCAGTCTTTAGTTTTCTATGTTGTGTTTTGTGCACTGTTATTTGCATGTCTTTTTCTTTTTTTGGCCATGGCGTTGTCAGTTTATTTTCGTCTTTTGCGTTTGAATGTCCCTTTGGTATCTTTCCCTCTCTTCTAATAGGTATTTTTTGTCGTAAACATTATAACTACTAATGATTGGGAATGGGGAACTTTGATAATTGTTTGTAATGATGAGCAGTTAAGGCATCCAGTACACATTCTTTTTTTATTATATATTTTGAATAATAAAAATAAAAGCTCTATCATTTTTTTCTAATAAAATAAAAGTAGAAACATGTTGTTAGAATTTCGAAAATCATTTTAAAGTTAGGAATGAATCATCGTTATGCAAAGCTCTGATCGTTTGTCTGGATTTGACTATAATTAAAGTCATTTCCGTTTAATAAGCTCTTTATCATTTGTACAAGGTCTAGGATTTTCAAATATTTTGTCTTGGAGCAGTCACTGAATGTTGTTACTTTGTCTATAAAAATTTATGAACGTTATCAATTGAAAATCATTGTTGGTCCATGTGATCTTTATCTTTTTAAAATTATCTAATCAATATAATGTCGTTTCACTTTTGTTTGATATAATTTCTTATATTATGTTATGTTATATTTCTGTATTAATTCCCGTAATATATATATTTTAGAAACATAAGGTGTGTTATTCACCAATGACTTATAATACATTAAAAAGTGTCCATTTACTACAATTCTATGTGTCTGAAACTTGGTCATACAAATGTAAATACAGATCGCTGTCCGGTCTGTGTTTTTTTTTTATGTTTTTTTCTGCTTTGTATCGACCTGATGGGTTAAGCACTTTTCAACTTATTTAAAAAGCTTGTTTTATGTTTTACAGTTACACCGCTGTCCCAGGTTAGTTGGAGGGTTTGGAGATAGCAAACATTTTTAACACCGCCACATTATATATGTGATAGTCCAAAGTCAGGAGTAGTTGTGGTTTATTTCTGTTTCTCATATCTGTTTTTCGTTTATTATTTTGTAGTTTGTTCTTGCCTTACACCGTTACACCAATGTCCAAAATAAGGGAGAGCTTTGGTGCCTTCAAACATGTTCACTGCCCCACATTCTTTATATGTGCCTGTCCCAAGTCCGGAGCATGTAGTTGTGTTCGTTTGTCCATGTCTGTCATACTTGTTTTTCGAACATTGATTTGCTATTATATTGGCCGTTAGTTTTCTCAATTGAATTTTTTCATATTTTTCACGCCGGAACCCTTTATAGCCAACTATATAGTATTTTTTTTTTCATTTTTGAAGGCCTTACTTATAATTGCTTACATTCATTTCATTTAAACTTTGGTGGATAATTGTCTCAATTGCAATCATACCACATCACCCTTTTTATACTTATACAGAATGTTAACTGGTCTAGTAGATTGTTAGATTCCGGCTATGAAATTAAAATGTATATAACGCTTAATATTAAATGTAAACAAGTTTGATGCTCAACTTGTTGAAGTTTTTGAGTTTTTGGAAATGTTATAATTTTTCTTTTTTTGATTGAATACAATTATGGGCTGTGAATGTCCAAATTTGTCGAACGTAAAAAGTTTATTTCTCTGAGAGCGAAGTCCGAAATGAAATATCTTTTTTTTTAGAGTTTACAATTTGGATATGCAAAAACCAAACAATTGTATTTATATACCGAACTATCAGTAGATGGGCCTTTCAAACCGTTGAAGATACACGTTAAAGACGCTCTTACACATGCCAATCCTGGTATCTATGATGAGTTTATTTACTACAGTAAGGCAACGTCTTGTTAGGCTATTTTACTGTTTTGCTGTGACGACTGGCCTGTAGTAAATAAACTCATGATAGATTCCAGGATCAAACTTTTGTACGCAAGACATGCGTTTTGTCTACAAAAGAGTCATCAGTGACGCTCGAATAAAACACAAATTCAAATAAAGTACGAGGTTGAAGAGCATTGAGTAACAGGTTACCATCACACTGACGTCAGAGTTATTTTGTGTCTTATGCCTCGTATGTACAAAACAAAGTAGACTGTGTAAGTAAAATATATTGATAGCAATGAAAAGGGACGTTATTATCGGCACCATATATATTTCAAAAACTTGTTTCTACATCACTCGACGGATTTCTACCATGGTCCTTGCAGTTTTGTTTACATACACCAGTGATGTCATTTTTCATGGATGATAACTCATGTTTAAATCTAGATTCTTTGAAGCTTTGTCACCAGGGTCATTTATCGCATATTACCAAGTATTAGGGTTATATATAAAAAAGAAGATGTAGTATGAGTGCCAATGAGACAACTATCAATATGCATCCAAGTCACAATGTGTAAAAAGTAAACAATTATAGGTCAAAGTACGGCCTTCAACACGGAGCCTTGGCTCACACCGAACAGCAAGCTATAAAGGGCCCCAAAAAGACTAGTCGTAAAACAATTCAAACAGGAAAACCATCGGTCTAATTTATATAAAAAACGACAAACGAGAAACACTTATAAACCACACCAACAAACGACAACCACTGAACAACAGGCTCCTGACTTTAATAGGACAGGTGCATAAACATGCAGCGGGTTTAAACGTTTTAACAGGCGACAACATTCACCCTATATGCCAATTCTTGCTTGAATTTAAATGATAATGCACCGAATTAGTTCATATTGATTATGTTATTGTTCTTTCAGTCGTATTTGTTCTAAATCAGCTCTATGCGGTCATTTTTGGTCATTGGTTATTCAAGGTGTCATATAATTGGTGTTTTCGTATTGATCATTTTTTATCTCTTCGTACAGTCGTATTGGGATTCGATCAGCTGTATTGGCAATCGGATGCGCCTCAAGCCGATACAGCTTACCTCGATCCAATATGACTGTACTTTGACATAATAACGGATCAATATGAAAACACGTCATTTAATGCCACCTTTTTACGTACATCAAGTAGAAGATGCTGTCTTGTTGACATACCTGTTCTCAGTCTGCTAGAGGTTCATACCATTCCGTTTTTGTTCGTCCCGTGTTAGTCTGTTTATTTATAGAGGTACGATATAACAACAATTTAATACATATTCAAACATTTTAGAGTGTTGGTTTCATTGTTCTCGCAGCCTGTCACATCATACTGTTACCTTTGCTAATGGTAACTATGGAAACACGTCCGACGCAATGGTAAGTTTCTAAGAATGCTAATAGGTATATAAAAAAATAAATACCATCATTTAAAAAAGAAATTGGACAAAATACAAAATGTGAGGTGTTTAGTGTGTACAGCTTTTAACCGTTATTAGTCTACCAACGATCTGCCAGACGATCGTTTCGTAATTGTAGGCAGTCCATATCCCACACGATGTTGTAGATCCAATTTAAAAAAATCTGAAAGGTTGTGTCAAATCCGGCGAAGGGTATCTATTTCAAGTGGTCGAAAACCTTAGGGTATCGAATAATTCGCAATTTTATAATCTGAAAGTAACATTTTAACACAAAGTTCAGACTACTCGGCTGTTGACGTTTACCAGAAGTTGCACCAAACTAGAGGTTTTTAAGACTCTAAAAATATGCGGTTTTTAATACATTTACTGGTTGGTCTTAAGTGGACGAGACGCACGTCTGTCGTATTGAATTTTAGGCCTAGTAACTTTTGTTAGCTATTATTCGTGTGTTTCTTTGTCCTATATGTTCTCCCATTTATTTGTATTGTGGTCCTGTCATGTGATGTTGTCGTCTTTGGTGTTGTTTTTGACATTGCTATAAAAGCGGGAGGTTTGGCTTGCCACAAAACCAGGTTCAACCCACCATGTTTTTCTTAAAATGTTCTGTACCAAGTCAGGAAAATGGCCTTTGTTATATTATAGTTCGTTTCTGTGTGTATTACATTTTAATGTTGTGTTTTTGTTGTGTCGTTGTTCTCCTCTTATATTTGATGCGTTTCCTTCAGTTTTAGTTTGTAACCCGGATTTGTTTTTATCTCTATCGATTTATGAGTTTCGAACAGTGGTATACTACTGTTGCCTTTATTTATATGATCAAACCTGTCTTAACAGTCACTTCGTTTCAGCG